TGGAGGTGTTGGTGGTGCTGGAGGTATTGGAGCTGGGAGTTCTGGTACTGTGGGTACCGTCCTTCTTATGACCACCTAGCGCGGCGCTTTGCCATATTCTTAGTCTTCCATCTAGCTTTACTCCTCCCATACTATGTCCACCGACTGACCCCTCTCAAACGCACAGTCTGACTCCCCACTGACTGCACCTTCTCCTTCTGTCAAACATTATATATGTTACTGTTTTGTAGGCTACAGTGGGTTTAGCCTTAGGGGGTACAATATTCTAGGGTTTCCTTCTTGTACTCCCAATCCTGCTAGTCCAACCATTTTTCTCTCATTCTGACATGGTATTACGAGCCTAGGTTAGGAACCTAGGACCGAATGTTCCTAAGGGCCCACCATTCCGCTAGTAGCGCCCTCGTGCGCCCTCTCTTAACCGCGCCCTCGTGCGCCTCGCTCCTAGTGCGCCCTCGAGCGCCCCGTTTTTCGGTCGCGTAGCCAGCTAGCTGCCCGCGCGCGGCCCGTTTTTTGCCCGCGCAGCCCGCTAGCTAACCGCACGCGGCCCGTTTCTAGTGCGCGCGACCCCGTAGCCGCCCACGCCATCGACGCCGCCCACACGTAGCCCGCCCTGGCCTTGCGCGGCCCCTAGAGCAGCTTGCGAGCTGCTCGTCGACCGGCGCGCGCCGCCACCTCGCCTAAGCAGGCCGCCGCCCGTACGTAGGCCGCCGCCCACACGTAGGCCGCCACCCGCGCCTAGGCCGCCGCCAGCACGTAGACTGCCGCCTCAAACCGCGCGCCGGCCCACCCTCTTTGCCCGAGCCACGCCGCACCGTCCTGCCCGAGCCACGCCGTCCTGCCCGAGTCGCGCCGCCCTGACCGAGCCGCACTACCCCACTGTGCACCAACTGCAGCACCTGCTGCTCCTACTCCTGCTACTGCTACTCCTCCTACTACTACTACTGTTCCTACTGCTGCTACTGCCACTATGGCGAGTCCTACCGTTCTCACTTTTGACGCTGAGGGCTGTCCGATCAGTTTGACGTTTGGCTCGATGACCTGCACCTGTTCCTCCAGATCACTGCCAAGGATGATGTTTCCTTGTTTGACCACATGTCCGGCGTAGCTCCCGCTCCTGCTGCTACTGCTGACAGTACATCTCGCTCACAGTGGCAGACCCGTGACGCTCACGCTCGCCTAGCCGTTCGCAGCCACGTGCCGTTAGATGAGCGCGAGCACTTTGGCCAGCATAAGACCGCTAAGGAGCTGTACCATGCTGTAGTTGCGCGCTACTCCTCCCCTTCTACTGCTGCGATAGGCCGTCTCTCGCTGCCCTACCTCTTCCCCGACCTGTCTGCCTTTGCCACTGTAGCTGACCTCATCACTCACCTTCGTACTAGTGATCTCCGCTACCGTGCCGCGTTCCCCCCCGATTTCCTAGCCAAGAACCCTCCCCCGATGTACCTCACACTCCACCTAGTCACCCGCTTCCCTGACTCCCTTCGCACCGTCAGGGACCACTTTCTCGCCCTCTCCCCCACCGACCTCACTGTCGACCTGCTCGAGAAGGAACTCCTAGCAGCTGAGAAGAGCATTGTAGCTGTAGGTGCCTCTCGTGGCGACCCTCGCGCTCCCTTCTTTGAGGGGTGCTCCCCCTCCCCCTTCCTCCCCTCCATTGCATCTGCTGCTGCCGTCGACTACCTCGGTGCTGAGGGGGTCGGAGCTGCGTCTGCTCCTACTGGGAGGCGCAAGGGCGGCAGGGGCAAGGGGGGAAGGGGTGGCGGAGGTGGCGGCAGGGGCGGCGGTGGTGGAGGGGGTGGAGGGGGCGGGGGTGGTGGCGGTGGTGGGAGTGGCGCTGGTGGTGGGGGGGTCAGTGGCGGAGCAGGGGGTGGTGGCGGCGGAGGTGGTGGGGGTGGTGTGGGTGGTGGGGGTGGTGGGGGCAGTGGTGGCGGCGGTGGAGAAGGTGGCGGGCGCGGTGGAGCGGTGCAGCGTGGGGTGTTCGGCGGTGGCTAGAGGCAGCAGCAGCAGCGTCCTGGCGAGACTCCCTCGCCCCAGCAGCTCCGTGAGTGGTACTCTCAGCGTGGGGGTTCTGGGGGTGGAGATACCTGCCCGTACGTCATCCGCACACAAGACTGCACTGGCCAGACCTGTGGGAGGTTCCACACGGCGCAGCACTGCTTCTTTCGTCTTGACGACACCTGGCGTGAGCAGTTTCCTGACGTCGCTGAGCTGCCCCGCTGGGCTGATCTGATTAAGAACGGAATTGATATCTTTGCTCTTGATTATGATGCTATCCGTGGTGCTATGTATGCATTGACTATTAGTGTTGAGGGTGACTGCTACCTGAGTGTACTGCCCGACCCAGGTATTGGGACCAGTGAGACTGCTGCTTTAGGTGCCAGTAAGTCTGCTGCTCCAGGTGCTTGTGAGTCCGCGCCTGCTGGTACTGCGTCTACTGAGGCACTGCACACCTTCACACTGGACTCAGGTGCTTCCCGCTGCTTCTTTCGTGACCGCTCTGTCCTTGAGTAGCTAGCTCGGCCTGTTGCTGTCTCCCTCGCTGACCCCTCTGGGGGCCCAGTCCTTGCGACCTCCTCCACTGTCCTCCCTTGTCCGGCGGTCCGGCCGGCACCCTGACGTTTCTTTACCTCCCCTCGTTCTCTACGAACTTGGTGGCGGGCTCTGCTCTCCAAGACAGGGTTGTTCACCAGTTCACCCCTGCCTATGAGCGTGTGACCCAATGTACGTGTGCTCGGACGGGTCGCCACCTGGCTACCTTTACCCGGCAGCCGGGGTCGGACCTATACACACTGACCACCGAGTCCCCTCAGGTAGCTGCGCCTGCATCAGGCCAGCTGTCAGCCCCCTGCTCGTGTCGCACCCTGTCGCGTCAGACTGTCCTCTGGCACCACCGCCTTGGTCACCCTTCACTGCAGCGCCTTCGTGGCAGCACTCCTAATACCTTGTCTCTGGTCTTCCCAGGGTTCTCCCTCCTCTCCCACCCTCGCCTGCTCCTCCCTGTCTTCCCTGTGTCGAGGGGCGGCTGGGCGCCACTCCTCACTCCTCCTCGTTCCCTCCCACAGAGGCCCCTCTGCAGACTCTCCACCTGGACGTGTGGGGCCCAGCCCGTGTCCGTGGACAGGGCCACGAGCGGTACTTCCTGCTGGTCGTCGACGACTACACGCGCTACACCACGGTCTTCCCCTTGCGCACCATGGGTGAGGTCCCTGATGTTTTGATCCCTTGGATCCGCGCTGCTCGTCTCCAGCTCCGCGACCGGTTCCAGTCGGACTTTCCAGTCGTGTGTCTGCACTCTGACAGGGGTGGTGAGTTTTCCTCCGACCTCTAGGCAGCCTACTGTGCGGAGCACGGCATCCGCCAGACGTTCACACTTCCGGCCTCTCCACAGCAGAATGGGATTGCTGAGTGCCGCATTGGCTTAGTCATGGAGGTCGCTCGTACCCCTATGATCCATGCGGCTGCCCCCATTTCCTCTGGCCATTTGCAGTGCAGTACACTACGCATCAGCTCAACCTCTGGCCCCGTGTTTCTGCTCTGGAGACCTTGCCCACACTGCGTTGGACGAGGAAGGTTGGCGATGCGTCGGTGTTCCGAGTCAAGGGATGTCGAGCCTTTGTCCGCGATACGTCCGCGGACATGCTCTCCTCCCGTGCCGTTCCCTGCGTCTTCTGGGCTTTGTCCCCGACGCGCCTGGCTGGCAGTTTTGCCACCCCACCTCGCGCCGGGTCTTCCCCTCTCAGGACGTCACTTTTGACGAGTCGGTACCCTTTTTACCGTCTCTTCCCCTACCACACTGCGCCCCCCCCCCCCCCCCCCCCCCCCCCCCCCCCGCCGCTCTTCCTCATGCCAGGTGCTGCTTTTGTCAGAACATTATAGCTTACTTATTTGTGTAGGCTATAGTGGGGTATCCCATAGGGGGTACAACCCAATTAGGGTTTCATATATGTACTCACTTCATTCATAGTCATTTCATTCGCGTTCTCATTTTCACATGGAATCAGAGCAGGTCCCCTCCTAGGGACTGTTTCTTGGGCCCACCGAAGCGCGCCCCGAGGCGCGCGTTCCTTTTTTTAGCGACCCGTCGTGTCGCCCCCCCCCCCCTAGCGGCCCGTCGCGCCGCCTTTTTGGTCGCGGCCCCGCCGCCCTACTCCTGGGGCCTCGCCGCCCTACGTCGCGGCCCCGCCGCCCTACCCTTCGACGGCCCCGCCGCCCTACGTCGCGGCCCCGCCGCACTAGCCTTTAACGGCCCCGCCGCCCTACCCTTCGACGGCCCCGCCGCCCTACTTCGACGGCCCCGCCGCCCTACCCTTCGACAGCCCCGCCGCCCTACCCTTCGACGGCCCCGCCGCCCTACCCTTCAACGGCCCCGCCGCCCTACTTCGCGGCCCCGCCGCCCTACCCTTCGGCGGCCCCGCCGCCCTACGTCGCGGCCCCGCCGCCTTACTTAGACGGCCCCGCCGCCCTTCTTGACGGCCCCGCCGCCCTACTCCCGCGGCCCCGCCGATCGACTTTGCGGCCCGCCGGCCGCCCTACCTGCTGCCCTCCCGCAGCTCTACCTGCGGCCCACCCGCCACCCCACCTGCGGCAGCCTGCCGCCCTAACTGCGGCCCACCCGTCGCCCTACCTACGACAGCCGCGCCGCCCTAAACCAGAGCCGCCCGACCGCCGAGCAGCCCAACAGCCGAGCCGCCGAGCCGCCGAGCAGCCGACCGCCGAGCCGCCGAGTCGCCCAGCACCTGAGCCGCCGAGCCGCCCAGCAGCCGAGCCGCCCAGCCGCCGAGCCGCCCAGCAGCCGAGCCGCCGAGCAGCCGAGCCGCCCATCAGCCGAGCCACCCGGCAGCCGAGCCGCCCAGCAGCCGAGCCGCCCAGCAACCGAGCCGCCGGCCGCTGAGCTGCCCTACATCCAGACCGCCCGTTCTGCCCAGTCTGGTGAGCATAGAGCCCTCTTTTTCACTGCATTGCCCTCACCCTACTGTTTGCACTGCTAGGCGTCTGTCGTCATGGCTACCCCTAGTGTCCTCGCTTTTCACGCTGAGGGTCGGGCCATTGACTTTGAGGTCTGGGTAGATGACCTGCAGCTGTTCTTACAGTGCGATAGGGCAAACGGCCTCTCTCTCTTTGACCTTACCTCTGGCGCTTCCCCTGCTCCTGCTGCTGATGCTGACCCTACTGTTCGCTCCCAGTGGGCTACGCGCGATGCTGCTGCACGTCTTGCAGTGCGTCGCCACCTCCCTACCTCTGAGCGTGCGCACTTTAGTCAGTACAAGAGTGCTCGGACCTTGTATGACGCTGTATTTGCGCGCTACTCCTCCCCTGCCACTGCTGCACTGACCCGCCTCATGCTACCCTTCCTCTTCCCTGACCTTGCCGCCTTTCCCACAGTCGCTGATCTCATTACGCACCTCCGCACTAGTGACACCCGCTACCGCGCTGTGCTTCCTGCTGACTTCTACGCCAAGAACCCCCCTCCCATGTACATCACTCTCTACTTTCTAGTCACCCGCCTCCCCGACTCCCTTCGTGTAGTCCGGGACCACTTCCTTGCGGTCTGTCCCACCACTCTCACAGTCGACAGCCTAGAGAAGGCCCTCCTAGCGGCGGAGAAGAGCATCGTCGCTGTAGGAGCCTCTCGAGGTGACCCCCGCGCCCCCATCTTTGAGGGGTGTTCTCCTTCCCCTCTCTTGCCCTCTGTCGCCTCTGCCGCTACGGCCGACCTCGTTGGTCTTGAGTCGGTCGGTGCGGCGTCTGCCCCTAGCGGGAGACGCCGCCCTGGCAAGGGCAAGGGGGGCAAGGGAGCGGGTGGGGCCAGCGGGGGCGGTGGCGGTGGAGGTGGAGGCGGCAGAGGGAGTGGGGGTGGCGGTGGAGGAGGTGGCGGGGGTGGGGGTGCTAGTGGCAGCAGTGGTGGCGGAGGCGGCGTCGGCGGCGGCGAAACTGGCGGGGGTGGCGGCGGTGGCGGAGGTGGAGGAGGTGGAGGTGGAGGTGGAGGTGGTGGAGGTGGTCGGAGTGGCACTTCTCAGCGGAGCGGCACTGGGGGTGGTCAGCGCCAGCAGCAGCAGCAGCAGCAGCGTTCTCGCGACCTCCCCACCCCTCAGCAGCTTCGTAAGTGGTACACGTAGCGTCAGCGTGGTGGGGGTCCTGGTCCCTTCTCCTACGTCCTTTGCACCGGCGACCGCGTGGGTGAGCAGTGTGGGGGTGCCCACCCCACCCAGCGCTGTTTTGGCCGCCTGACGGATGCTTGGCGTCAGCAGTTTCCGGAGGCCACGGAGATCCCCCGCTGGGGAGAGCTGTCTAGGGCTGGCGTACCTATCTTTGATCTTGACTTTGATGCTATCCTTGCTGCCATGTATGCTGTGACTATTAGTGATGAGGGTGACTGTTACCGGTGTTTTCCACCCGACCCGGGCATTGAGACTGCTGCTCTAGGTACTGGTGAGGCTGCTGCCCTAGGTGCTTGCGACGCTGCTGCTCTGGGTGCTAGTGTGTCTGCGTCCCCAGGTACTGGTGAGTCTGCGCTCTCAGGTACTACGTCGGCTTCGGCCTCTCACACCTTCACCCTTGACTCTGGGGCATCTCGCTCCTTCTTTCGAGATCGCACCACACTCACGCCGCTTAGTCGGCCGGTTGCGGTTTCCCTGGCTGACCCCTCAGGGGGTCCTGTCCTGTCTTGCTTCTCCACTGTCCTCCCGTGTCCGGCGGCTCCCTCTGGCACCCTGTCTGGTCTCTACCTCCCCTCGTTCTCCACGAACTTTGTGAGTGGTGCTGACCTACAGGATGCTGGAGTCCACCAGTTCACCCCTGCTCGTCAGCGGGTGACGCACTGCACAGAGGCTAGCACAGGTCGACACCTGGGTCAGCAAGGGTCGAGCCTGTACACACTGACTACTGCGTCCCCCCTAGTTACTGAGTCTAGTAGGGTCCCTGCGTCTGGTCAGGTGTTTTCTGCAGCGTCCAGGTCTGGTCCTGAGTCTGCCCCCTGTTCGTGTCGTCTCCTGTCTCACGAGACTCTCCTCTAGCACCACCGCCTTGGTCACCCCTCTCTGCTTCGGCTCAGAGGCATGGCCTCCCGTCTTCTTGTGTCTGGTCTCCCCCGGTCCCTCCCTCCCCTTCCTCAGGGCCCTGGCCCTTCCTGTGTCCCCTGTGTCGAGGGGCGCCAGCGTGCTGCCCCTCACTCCTCCCAGTTTCCTCCGACTGAGGCCCCGTTGCAGACGCTTCACATGGACGTGTGGGGCCCCGTCCGCATCCGTGGACAGGGTCACGAACGCTAATTCCTGCTTGTTGTTGACGTCTACTCGCGTTACACCACAGTCTTCCCCTTGCGCAGCAAGCGTGATGTCACTGAGGTGCTGATTGACTGGATCCGCGCAGCTCGTCTCCAGCTCAGGCAGAGCTTTGGCTCGGACTTTCCTGTTTTGCGTCTGCACTCGGACAGAGGCGGAGAGTTCTCCTCTGGCCTTCTGCGAGCCGACTGTTGTGCGCGAGGCATCCGTTAGACCTTTACGCTTCCGGACTCACCGCAGCAAAATGGGATTGCAGAGCGCCGCATTGGCATGGTCATGGACGTCGCTCGTACGTCTATGATGCATGCGGCTGCCCCCCATTTTCTGTGGCCGTTTGCGGTGAGGCACGCGGCGCACTTGATCAACCTTCACCCGAGGGTCTCGAGGCCGAAAACCTCCCCAGCCCTGCTGTGGACGGGGAAGGTTGGCGATGCGTCGGCGTTCCGGGTCTGGGGATCTCGGGCGTTTGTCCGCGACTTGTCTGCGGACAAGTTGTCCCCTCGTGCTGCTCCCTGCGTCTTCTTGGGGTTCCCCTCCGACGCCCCTGGGTGGCAGTTCTACCACCCCACCTCTCGCCGTGTTCTGTCCTCCCAGGACGTCACGTTCGACGAGTCGGTACCCTACTACCGCCTCTTCCCCTACCGCACTCCTTCCCTCCCCCCACCCCCGCTCTTCTTGGTACCAGGTCCCCCCCCGGTAGACCCCCTCCCCCCTCAGGGTCCTGCCCCTTCAGATGTGTCCCACGAAGACGCGGTCGAGCCTGTCGAGGTCACTAGTGACTCTGGTGCTGCTGCGGGTTCTGAGCCTAGGGGTGCTGAGACTAAGCGTACTGTGCCTAGGGGTGCTAAGACTGGGGGTGCTGAGCGTGGGGGTGCGGAGCCTGGGGGTGCTGAGCCTAGGGGTGCTGAGCCTGGGGGTGCTGAGCTTGGGAGTGCTGAGCCTGGGGGTGCTGAGCCTGGGGGTGCTGAGCCTGGAGGTGCTACGCCTGGAGGTGCTTTGCCTGGGGGTGCTGAGCCTGGAGGTTCTTCGCCTGGAGGTTCGCCGGGTGCTTCGTCTCGCCGAGAGCCACTCTCCCCACAAGAGCTGCGTGAGTGGTTTGCCCGGCGCTGGAGGCGTACTGCTGGTGCTGGAGGTTCTTCGACTGCTAAGGGTGCTGCTGTCGCGGGTCCCGGAGGTGCTCGTACTGGGAGTACTGGAGCTGCTGGGCCTGCGGGTTCGACTGGAGCTGGTGCTGCTGAGGGTGTTGGCGCTATGACTAACACTGGCGGTCCTGCTGGCGGTGCTTCTGGTGCTGCTGGGGGTTCCGGAGCTGCTGGGGGTGCTGCTGGAGGTGCTACTGGAGCGGGTGCTCCTGCTGGGGGGACTGGTGCTGTCCCTGCTGTGTATGGCGTCGCCGCGCGGCCTCGACCGTACTTCGTTCCGCTCCTGCAGCAGGTTCTTGGTCTTCCACCTTCTACTGGCTCTCCTCCTCTCTTAGAGGGTCCACAGCCTGTCCCGTCCCAGTCACAGCTACAGCCTGCCTCCCCCTTACCTGCTCCTTCTCCCTACGCTGGTCCTACTGGAGGTCTTACTGAGCGTCGTGAGCCTGCGTCTCGTCCTGCGTCGCCTATTCGTCCTGCACGCACTAGTGGTCGCAGTTCGCGTCAGCGTCCTCCTCCTGTCCCTGGCACGCACCGGATGTCGCTGCGTCCGTCTACTGCTCCTCTACGTGGCCCGTTACCTTCTCCTCCTGAGTCCTCTCTTCTTGCTCTTGCCGACCGGGAGTCGGACTCTCTTCGTGCTGCCAGTCCTACTGTCATGCGTTTCCTTGCTAGTGTCATCACTGACCCTTCTTTCGAGTCTTCTGCTGCGTCTGCCCTCGTTACTGAGCTCGTCGACTTTGCTGCTCGCTGTCACCTAGACTACGCTGCTAGTCTTGTCGCAGAGTCTGAGTCTGTCTTTCCTCCGCCCGTCGGGGGTGAGTGTGCCCTTGGCACGGACGTTCTCGAGGACAGGCAAGAGGAGTTCCAGTGCCTGGCAGCCGCTTCACCGCATCTCTTGTCCGAACTGCTTACCCCTGAGGGAGACCCGGATGCACTTGACATCCCGACTCCGCGCTCTTACGCGGAGGCGATAGAGGGTCCCTACTCCTATCAGTGGCAGGCAGCTTTGGATGCAGAGATGGCTTCCTGGAAGTCCACAGGCACCTACGTTGACGCTGTCCCCCCTTCTGGGGCGAACATCGTCAGTGGCATGTGGATCTTCAGGGTGAAGCGGCCGCCGGGTTCTCCGCCTGTCTTCAAGGCGCGTTACGTGGCTCGTGGCTTCAGTCAGCGGCACGGGGTTGACTACTTTCAGACCTTCTCCCCCACCCCGAAGATCACCACTCTTCGGGTACTGCTGCACGTTGCTGCTCACCGTGACTACGAGCTGCACTCTCTCGACTTCAGCACTGCCTTCTTGCAGGGCAGCCTGCACGAGGAGATCTGGCTGCGCCGCCCACCTGGCTTCACTGGGTCTTTCCCTCCTGGTACCCAGTGGAGTCTCCGGCGTCCAGTTTACGGTCTCCGCTAGGCAACCCGTGAGTGGCACGACACACTGAGGACTACGCTTGCGGCTCTTGGGTTTGCTCCTTCTACTGCCGACCCGTCGCTGTTTCTGCGCACCGACACCTCTCTGCCGCCGTTCTACATCCTCGTGTACGTCGACGACTTTGTCTTTGCCACTGCTGACACTGCTGGACACGCCTACGTGAAGTTCGAGCTGCAGAAGAGACACACGTGCACTGACCTGGGTGAACTGCGCAGCTACCTTGGCTTGCAGATCACCCGGGACAGAGCACGCCGCACCATTACCCTGACTCAGTCACACATGGTGCAGCAGGTCCTTCAGCGTTTCTGCACTCAGTTGGGTCTTGTGCCTGTCTTGCCTCACTTGCTCACTTCTTGACCTTGCTTGTACTGTCACATATATATACTCTTGCTCTTGCTTGTTTAGCCTCTTATATATATCTGTGCTCCTGCATGTGAACTGGCCTTCTGGCCTTGAAGTTGTGCTCGGAATGTGTGGTGACTTTGTGATCCACCCTGAGCTTTGCTTTGCTTTGCTTGACTGGTCTTGTGACCCCTTGTTCTCCCCCACTTTGCCTGTGGGGGTGTGTCAGAACATTATAGCTTACTTATTTGTGTAGGCTATAGTGGGGTATCCCATAGGGGGTACAACCCAATTAGGGTTTCCTATATGTACTCACTTCATTTATAGTCATTTCATTCTCGTTCTCATTTTCACAGCTTTGGTAGACCCCCTCCCTCCCCTGGGTCCTGCTCCCTCAGGTGTTTCCCAGGTAGACCTAGTCGAGGCTGTCGAGGTAGCTGTCGACTCTGGTCATGCGAGGGGTATTGAGACTGGGGGTGCTGAGCCTGGGGGTGCTGAGACTGAGGGTGCTGAGCCTGGGGGTGTTGAGACGGAGGGTGCTGAGCCTGGGGGTGCTGAGCTTGGGAGTGCTGAGCTTGGGGGAGGTGAGACTGGCTGTCTTGCACTGGGTGACGCTCCCTCTTCACAGCAGCTGCGTGAGTGGTAATCTCAGTGTTACAGCCTCCGGCGTGGGGCTGCTGGAGCTAGGGGTTGTGCCGGAGTTGGAGCTAGTGGTGCTGCGGGTGCTGGGTCGCAGCCATCGCCTCCCTCCCCACAGCGACTGCGTGAGTGGTACGCTCGGCGCTACAGCCTCCGGAGCGGCGCTCCTCGCACTGAGGTGCCGCCCGCTAGAGGCCCTGGTGCTACTGGAGGTAGTGGAGCCTCTGGTCCTGGAGGTGCTTGTACAGGCGGTACTGGAGCTGTTGGGACTGGAGGTTCTGCTGGAGCTGGTGCTACTAGAGGTGCTGCTGGTGCTAGAGTTGGAGCTGCAGGTGCTGGAGCTGCTGGTGCTGCCGGTGGAGCTGAGGACCCCGGGCCTATAGGAGTTGGTGTAGCTGCCGACCCTGGGGTTGGTCCTGCAGGTCCTGGAGCCGACGGTGCGGCTGGAGCTGGCGCTACTTGGGGTACTGGAGTAGTACTACTCCTCTCAGTGGCAGTCAGCCATGGACGTAGAGATGGCATCCTGGAAGTCCACGGACACTTATGTCGACGAGGTTCCCCCTCCTGGGGCGAACATCGTCAGTGACACGTGGATTTTCAGGGTGAAGCGGCCGACAGGTTCTCCGCCTGTCTTGAAGGCTCGTTACGTTGCTCGAGGCTTCAGTTAGCGAGAGGGAGTAGACTTCTTCCAGACCTTCTCCCCCACCCCGAAGATGACCACTCTTCGGGTACTACTGCACGTTGCCGCTCAGCGTGACTACGAGCTTCACTCTCTTGACTTCAGTACAGCTTTCTTGCAGGGCAGCCTGCACAAGGAGATCTAGCTGCGCCGCCCTCCTGGCTTCACTACATCGTTTCCTCCTGGTACTTAGTGGCGCCTCCGGCGGCCAGTCTACGGTCTCCGCCAGGCACCACATGAGTGGCACGACACATTGAGGACAACACTTGCGGCTCTTGGGTTCGCGCCTTCTACTGCTGACCCGTCACTGATTCTGCGCACTGACACTTCGCTACCGCCATTCTACATCCTCGTGTACGTTGACGACTTGGTCTTTGCCACTGCTGACACTGAGGCTCTTGCCCAAGGGAGGTCGGAGCTGCAGAAGAGACACACGTGCACAGACCTCGGTGAACTGCGCAGCTACCTTGGCTTGCAGATCACCCGGGACAGAGCACGCCGCACCATCACACTGACTCAGTCACACATGGTGTTGCAGGTCCTTTAGCGCTTCGGCTTCACCTGGTCCTCGGCATAGGCGACTCCTCTGGCTACATGTCACTAGCTCTCAGGTCTGCCTTCGGATGAGTCCGTAGAGCCGAGTGGTCCTTACCCAGAGCTAGTTGGCTGCCTCATGTTCCTGATGACTTGCACTCGTCCTGACCTAGCGTACCCTCTTGGCCTTCTGGCTCGCTACGTGGTTCCTGGTAGGCACCGAAAGGTGCACTGGGATGCTGCAAAGAGGGTATTGCGCTACTTGTGCAGTACATCGGGCATGGGGCTCGTGCTTGGAGGGAGGAGCTCAGTTGTTCTCGCTGGGCACTCAGACACTTCTTGGGTTGACGACCAGGCTACGCAGCAGTCGTCACACGGTTACACCATCAGCCTTTGCTCTGGTTCAGTTTCTTGGCGTTCTACATGCTCATCTTCTGTTCTCAGCTCCAGTTGTGAGGCTGAGATCTACGCCACAGCCATGGCTGCACAGGAGTTACGCTGGCTCACCTACTTGCTGACCGACCTGGGAGAGCTGCCTCGTTCTCCTCCTGTGGTGTACGTCGACAACAAGGCTGCCATTGCCTTGTGTGAGGAGCACAGACTGGAGCACAGAACGAAGCACATCGCTCTACATTACTTGCTGGCTCGAGAGTTGCAGCGGCGTGATCACCTTCGTCTGCGTTACGTGGCCACTTAGGCCAACATTGCTGATATATTCACCAAGGCACTTCAGTTTGGTGATCATCAGCGTTTCTGCTCTTTGCCAGGGCTTGTGCCCACTTTTCCTCACGTGCTGTAGGCTTTGCCTGTATTGTGATATCTCGATATATACATATATATATATATATATATATCTCTGCATGCTTGCTTTGCTAGATCGAGATCACTGTGTTGTTTGTGCTGCATATATGCCTCCGCATGGGAACTGGCCTTATGGCCCTTTGCTCGTGCTCAGTGTGTGTGGTGACTTTGTGATCCACCCTGAGCTTGCTTTGTCTTTCTTGACTGGTCTTGTGACCCCTTGCTCTCCCCCACTTAGCCTATGGGGGTGTGTCGAACATTATATATGTTGCTGTTCTGTAGGCTACAGTGGGTTTAGCCTTAGGGGGTACAATATTCTAGGGTTTCCTACTTGTACTCCCAATCTTGCTAGTCCAACCATTTTTCTCTCATTTTGACACCTTCCACTAAGTCGACGGACTCCCTCACAGAGCGTTGTGAGCCTGCATCTCGTCCTGCCTCGCCAGTTTCCATTGTTCGACGTGCTCATCGTTTTCGTCCTCCACCAGTCCCCGGCACACACACTATGGTACTTCGCCCTTCCTTTGTTCCATAGTGTGTTGCTCTTCTGTCCTAGGATAGGTAGTTTGAGCTCGAGTGCCTTGCGGCTGTTGTACCTCATCTTGCTTTCATGTTGATTTGCCCTAAGGGAGACCCAGATGCACTAGACATCCCAACCCCGCACTGTTACACAGAGGCACTTACGGGTGAGTACTCTTCTTAGTGGTTGACAGCCATGGATGCAGGCACCTACATCGACGTAGTCCCCCATCCCAGGGTGAACATAGTCGATTGAGAAGAAACGAGGAATGATTGAACAATGAAACAGTTGGGTACAAGTACTAACCCTAATTGGGTTGTACCCCTTATGGGCTACCCCACTAGAGCCTACACAAATGCATAAGCTATAATGTTCTGACACACCCCCATAGGCAAAGTAGGGGAGAACAAGGGGTCACAAGACCAGTCAAGCAAAGTAAAGCAAAGCAAGCTTAGGGTGGATCACAAAGTCACCACACATTCCGAGCACACGTTCAAGGCTACAAGGCCAGTTCACATGCAGGAGTACATATATATATATATATAAGGCTAGACAAGCAAGAGCAGGAGTATATATATTTATATATATACATATATATATGTAACAGTACAAGCAAGGTCAAGAGATGAGCAAGTGAGGCAAGGCAGGCCCAAGACGCAGCTGAGTACAGAAGCGCCGATGATCACAAGGCGCAAGTGCCTTGGTGAAGATATCAGCAGTGTTGGCCTCAGAGGCCACGCACGCAAGCCGCAACTGACCACGCTGCTGTAGCTCACGAGCAAGGAAGTAGCGGAGAGCAATGTGCTTTGTTCTGTGCTCCAGTCTCTACTCTCGACACAAGGCCAGCATGGCCTTGTTGTCTACGTACAGTACTGGAGGAGAACGAGGCGGATCTCCGAGGTCAGTCAGCAGGTAGGTGAGCCAGCGAAGCTCCTGTGCAGCCATGGCTCCTGCGTAGATCTCAGCCTCACAACTGGAGCCGAGAACAGAAGACGAGCGGGTAGCCCGCCACGAAACAGAGCCGGAGCCAAGGCTGAAGGTGTAACCCTGTGATGACCGCTGCATAGCCTGGTCGTCAGCCCAAGAAGCGTCCGCGTGCCCAGTGAGGACCACTGGACTCCGCCCTCCAAGCACAAGCCCCATGCCCGACGTACTGCACTAGTAGCGCAACACCCTCTTTGCTACAGCCATGTGCTCTGGTCGGTGTCTACCAGGAGCAACATAGCGTGCCAAGATGCTAAGAGGGTATGCAAGGTCAGGTCGTGTGCAGGTCATCAGGTACATGAGGCAGCCAACAAGCTCTGGGTACGGGCCACTCGACTCTATGGACTCATCCGAAGGCAGAGCTGAGAGCGAGTGGTGATAAGGCAGAGGAGTGGCCTGAGGCAAGGAGTACGTGAAGCCGAAGCACTGAAGGACCTGCTGCACCATGTGTGACTGAGTTAGGGTAATGGTGCGGCGTGCTCT